AGGGGCGGGCGCGGGTTGGGGCAGGGGACTCGGGGCCCGGGAGGGGTGGGGCACAGGGTGGGGCAGGGGGCTCGGGGCCCGGGAGGGGTGGGGCGCGGGGTGGGGCAGGGGGACTCGGGGCCCGGGAGGGGTGGGGCACAGGGTGGGGCAGGGGGGCTCGGGGCCCGGGAGGGGTGGGGCGCGGGGTGGGGCAGGGGGACTGGGGGCCCGGGAGGGGTGGGGAACAGGGTGGGGCAGGGGGGCTAGGGGCCCGGGAGGGGTGGGGCGCGGGGTGGGGCAGGAGGACTCGGGGGCCCAGGAAGGGCAGGGCGCGGGGTGGGGCAGGGGGCCCCGGAGGGCAGGGCGCGGGGTGGGGCAGGGGGCTCAGGGGGCCCCGGGAGGGGCAGGGCGCGGGGTGGGGCAGGGGGGCTCGGGGGCCGGGAGGGGCGGGGCGCGGGGTGGGGCAGGGGGGCTCGGGGCCCGGGAGGGGCAGGGCGCGGGGTGGGGCAGGGGGACTCGGGGCCCAGGGAGGGCAGGGCGCGGGGTGGGGCAGGGGGACTCGGGGCCCAGGAGGGCAGGGCGCGGGGTGGGGCAGGGGGACTCGGGGCCCAGGGAGGGCAGGGCGCGGGGTGGGGCAGGGGGGCTTGGGGCCCGGGAGGGGCAGGGCGCGGGGTGGGGCAGGGGGACTCGGGCCCGGGAGGGGTGGGGCGCGGGGTGGGGCAGGGGGCTTGGGGCCCGGGAGGGGCAGGGCGCGGGGTGGGGCAGGGGGACTCGGGGGCCCGGGAGGGGTGGGGCACAGGGTGGGGCAGGGGGGCTAGGGGCCCGGGAGGGGTGGGGCGCGGGGGTGGGGCAGGGGGACTCGGGGCCCGGGAGGGGTGGGGGCACGGGGTGGGGCAGGGGGGCTCGGGGGCCCGGGAGGGGTGGGGCGCGGGGTGGGGCAGGAGGACTCGGGGGCCCAGGAAGGGCAGGGCGCGGGGTGGGGCAGGGGGGCTCAGGGGCCCCGGGAGGGGCAGGGCGCGGGGTGGGGCAGGGGGGCTCAGGGGGCCCCGGGAGGGGCAGGGCGCGGGGTGGGGCAGGGGGCTCAGGGGGCCCCGGAGGGGCAGGGCGCGGGGTGGGGCAGGGGGGCTCAGGGGGCCCCGGGAGGGGCAGGGCGCGGGGTGGGGCAGGGGGGCTCGGGGCCCGGGAGGGGCGGGGCGCGGGGGTGGGGCAGGGGGGCTCAGGGGGCCCCGGGAGGGGCAGGGCGCGGGGTGGGGCAGGGGGACTCGGGCGCGGGGTGGGACAGGGGGGCTCGGGGGCCCAGGAAGGGCAGGGCGCGGGGTGGGGCAGGGGGGCTCGGGAGGGGCAGGGCGCGGGGTGGGGCAGGGGGGCTCAGGGCCCGGGAGGGGCAGGGCGCGGGGTGGGGCAGGGGGGCTCGGGGCCCGGAGGGGTGGGGCGCAGGGTGGGGCAGGGGGACTTGGGGGCCCAGGAAGGGCAGGGCGCGGGGTGGGCAGGGGGGCTCAGGGCCCGGGAGGGGTCGCAGGGGTTGGGCGGGGGGTGGGCTCAGGGGCCCCGGGAGGGGCAGGGCGCGGGGTGGGGCAGGGGGGACTCGGGGGCCCGGAGGGGTCCCAGGGTCAGATACACTGGTTGGCTGGATAGACCGGCCAGCCTTGCCACCGGCAGCCACAAACCCACAGAGACCTTCGTAGAAGCCATCTTCGTCCATGTCTCCGTACACATAGAGGTACTTTCCCGCCGTGAGGGGCAGCTCGGCTTCGGGGTTTTCATTGGGGGTCCATCGAAGGGGTTGTAGCTGAGGATGGAACACAGCTCTCTCAGGAGCGGCCGCAGACGGGTGCTGCTCCCAGCCCCAGCCCCGGCAGCCGGCTGGCCTGGCACACGGCTCACGACTGTCCCCCAGAACTATAAACCCGAAACAGCCAGGGCTGGTAACTCCTCTGGGGTGGACGCCCGGGCCTGCCTGGAGGGCTCCTACTCTGGCAGAAGGTCACTGCGGTGAGCTGCCTGCCCAGAGCCCTCCGTCCCCCCGCGGTGAGCTGCCTGCCCAGCGCCCTCCCCCTGCGGTGAGCTGCCTGCCCAGAGCCCTCCCCCCTCCCCCCGTGGTGAGCTGTCCCCAGCTGCCTGCCCAGAGCCCTCACCCCCCCCCCCCTGTGAGCTGCCCGCCCAGAGCCTCCCCCCTGCGGTGAGCTGCCTGCCCAGAGCCCTCCCCCTCCCCCCGCCCCCCACGGTGAGCTGTCCGCCCAGAGCCCTCCGTCCCCCAACGGTGTATTTGTGACTGGCATCTTGGTCTCGCCCCCCTTCCAGCAGAACTTTACTATCCAGATGAACGAGCTAAGAGGAAGCGCCATGGACCCCATCTCCTGCCGGTCGGCAGGACTGTGCCGGGGCTCCACCGTGCCACGTGGCACGCTGCGTCTGCGCCTCGTGGAACCTCCTGTCATCTCGGGCGAGACACTGGACTCACCAGCTCCCACCATTGAACCATCTGCCCACACTCGAGCACACTGCCTTCACAGTGACACATGCAGTGAGTGGACCTGCCGTCCACTGACACCACAAACTGGAGTGGAGTGTGTGTGCAGATCCATGGGAGACAGAAATGCACACAAGAGAAGCCACCTGTCCACAGAGCCCACAGCCATGCAGCCACAAGCCAAGCTCTGGGCCACCAGAGGCCGGGAGAGGCAAGGGATGCGGCCTTTGACACCTCCATGCAGACTGCTGGCCTCTAGAACTAGGAGGAAGTAAAGCCTCTGGGTGGGGGCCTCCGGCCTGAGCCCCTTGGTGGCCGGGAGCCCTGCAGGCCTGTCCACACCCCAGCCCTGTGCCTCCCTGCCATGTGGTCCACACCCCAGCCCTGTGCCTCCCTGCAGGCTAGTCCACGCCCCAGCCCTGTGCCTCCCTGCAGGCTAGTCCACGCCCCAGCCCTGTGCCTCCCTGCAGGCTAGTCCACGCCCCAGCCCTGTGCCTCCCTGCTGGCCTGTCCACGCTCCAGCCCTGTGCCTCCCTGCAGGCTAGTCCACGCTCCAGCCCTGTGCCTCCCTGCAGGCCGGTCCACGCCCCAGCCCTGTACCTCCCTGCGGGCTGGTCCACGCCCCAGCCCTGTGCCTCCCTGCGAGCCGGTCCACACCCCAGCCCTGTGCCTCGCTGCAGGCCGGTCCATGCCCTAGCCCTGTGCCTCCCTGCGGGCCTGTCCACGCCCCAGCCCTGTGCCTCGCTGCGGGCCCTGTCCACACCCCAGCCCTGTGCCTCCCTGCGGGCCAGTCCACACCCCAGCCCTGTACCTCCCTGCGGGCTGGTCCACGCCCCAGCCCTGTGCCTCCCTGCGGGCCAGTCCACGCCCCAGCCCTGTGCCTCGCTGCGGGCCGGTCCATGCCCCAGCCCTGTGCCTCCCTGCCATGTGGTCCACACCCCAGCCCTGTGCCTCCCTGCGGGCCGGTCCACGCCTGAGCCGGGTGCCTCGCTGCGGGCCGGTCCATGCCCCAGCCCTGTGCCTCCCCTGCGGGCCGGTCCACACCCCAGCCCTGTGCCTCCCTGCGGGCCGGTCCACACCCCAGCCCTGGCCAGTCCACACCCCAGCCCTGTGCCTCGCTGCGGGCCTGTCCACACCCCAGCCCTGTGCCTCCCTGTGGGCCGGTCCATGCCCCAGCCCTGTGCCTCCCTGCGGGCCGGTCCACACCCCAGCCCTGTGCCTCCGTCGTTCTCAATGGCCTGGCTGGAGCGCCGTCTTCTTGCGGCCCCAGAGGAGCCGTTGGGCTCAGGCCGCTGGACCTTCCAGCCCCATGATCTCCTCTGCCCCGGCGTCCTGTGCCCGTGCCCGTGCCCGCGCCCGTGCCTGAGCTGGGCGCTCAGGACCACAGACAGCACCTCCCCCAGCACCCTACCTGTAGCGGGCCACGCAGAGGTGCACCTTCCCCGAGAATCTCTGCTTTGAGGTATTGGAGTTCTGTTCATTATCCATCTGTTGGAGACAACACGTGTTTGTGGGCTGCCACAGCCCATGGGATCCTCCCTCAGTCTCCCCGGGGCTTGGGGAATGCAGATCCCCCCCATCTCAGAACCCCCCGGAGATGGGAGGCCCACATCCTGGGGTCACAGAGGCGCTGTCCCGCGCAGCCCTGGTCACGCAGAGTGACACTGGTAAGGAGTTCAGGAGGAGGCCAGGGGTGGGGACCCTCCACAAAGTCACCCAGACACCGCCAGGCCAGGCTGTCTGGAGAAGACAGCAGTGAGCCGCATCGCTGCCCATCTTCAACCCGCCCCGCAGCTCCTGAGGTGACAGAGGCCGGCATGGGCAGCCTCTGCCCAGCTCCCAGGCCTCGGCTCCCACGCCAGCTCCTCGTGGATGCAGTGGGACCCAGATATTGGGAAGCCTCCTCCCCATTCCCCACACCAGGACAGGAGGCCTGATCTGTCCTGGGGACCTTCAACAGGGCCTCGCTTTCTAATGCCGATGAGTGCAGCGCATCACCACCAGATAGGGCGCTGCCTGCCCGCAGGGGCTCCCTGTGCAGACACCTTAGGACTCTGGGAATGAATGGCAGCAGGGAGGAGGGAGGAGGAGGGGGGAGGAAGGAGGGGGAGGGGGGGAGGGAAGAGGGAAGGGGGAGGAGGAGGAGGGAGGAGGGAGGAGGGACGAGGACGAGGGAGGGGGGGAGGGGGGAGGAGGGAAGAGGGAGGGGAGAGGGGGGAGGAGGGAGGGGAGGGGGGGAGGGGGAGGGAGGGGAGGGGGGGGGAGGGGGAGGGGGAGGAGGGAGGGGGAGGGGGAGGAGGGAGGGAGAGGAGGGAGGAGGAGGGGGAGGGGGAGGGGGAGGAGGAAGGGAGAGGAGGGAGGAGGGAGGAGGAGGGGGAGGGGGAGAAGGGAGGAGGGAGGGGGAGGGGGAGGAGGGAGGGGGAGGGGGAGGAGGGAGGGAGAGGAGGGAGGAGGGAGGGAGAGGAGGGAGGAGGGAGGAGGAGGGGGAGGGGGAGGAGGGAGGGAGGAGGAGGAGGAGGGAGAAGGGAGGAGGAAGGAGGGAGGGGGGAGGAGGAGGAGGGAGGGGGAGGAGGAGGAGGGTGGGGGAGGAGGAGGAGGGAGGAGGGAGGGGGAGGAGGAGGAGGGTGGGGGAGGAGGAGGAGGGAGGAAGGAGGCGGGAGGAGGGAGGAGGGAGGGGGAGGAGGAGGAGAGAGAAGGGAGGAGGAAGGAGGGAGGCGGGAGGAGGGAGGAGGGAGGAGGGAGGAGGAGGCGGGGCAGGAAGGACAGGTGAGCGGTCCCCGTGCTCCGGAAGCAGAGCACACCGCAGCCAGAGGCCCCGCCCTGCAAGACTCACTTCGGACTCAATTCTGCATCTTGGGCTGCTGGCCGAAGGCAGGAAGGTAGGCTTGGCACACGGAGGCTCCAGCTTGTCCCTGGACAGCGGAATGTAGTCCCCTGTCACAGCACAGCGTCCCTCGGAGCCCTCCAGACTGCTCCTCTCTACGTTTAAACACCAATAGTGATGGTCATGACAATGATCGGCCTGCAGCCCACAGCCTCTGCACAAGCTCTCCTGCTGCTGCTGGGGAGGGGCAGTGCAGGATGCCTGCACTCAGGCCCCACAGCCAGGACAAGATCTCCGTCCCAGCATGGTGGCCTGGGCTGCCCCTCCCTGCCAGCCAAGCCAGGGTGAGGGCAGGTGCTTAGGGCTCAGTCCTGACCTCTGGGGAGAACTTCCCAAAATGTCACTGCACCACTAGGTGTGGCCTGGGAGGGAGGGGAAAAGCCCCAGCAGAGACGGCTCACAGAGCCGGGGTCGAAGGCCAGGGGCCACACAGGAGTGGCCAGCAGAGACTCTGGGGCCAGGCTCCCCTCAGTTTCCCCCTCTGTGGACTGGGCCCACAAAGAGCAGCCACCTTATGCCGCGTGTGCACGGCGGCAGCCTGTGCTGGCCTGTGACCTGCCACAGCGCCCCAAACGCAGGGGGGCTGCTGCCACACAAGCCTTACCGCCCAGCCCCAGGGCCGGTTCACCTGCCCACTGCCACCCAGCCGAGGAGCCCCCGGTTCACCTGCCCACCGCCACCCAGCCGGGGAGCCCCCGGTTCACCTGCCCACCGCCACCCAGCCGGGGAGTCTCCAGTTCACCTGCCCACCGCCACCCACCCAGGGAGTCCATACCGACCTTTACCCAGGGAGGTCGCTAATCCATTCATGAACTTGGGGAAAGGCTTTCCAGGGGCCAGGGAGGCGTCGAGGAGGGACACCAGGCCGCCGCCCAGCAGGTCGGTCCTGCCCGCGTGCTGCCGGAACCGGTCCAGCTCCCGAGAGAGCAGGTGGAACTGCTCACTCTGGGTCCTGCATTTCTCTTCCAGCTCTCGAACTTTGGACTGCACAGCAAAGACAAGATGGGGTCAGCGGGGGCCTCGGGGGAGGGTGTGTGCATGGATGAGCTCGCATGAGCTTGTGTGAGCATGGATGTGCATGTGTGCTTGTGAGTGTGGGTGTACACACATGAGCTTGTGTGAGCATGGATGTGCATGTGTGCTTGTGAGTGTGGGTGTACACGCATGAGCTTGTGTGAGCATGGATGTGCATGTGTGCTTGTGAGTGTGGATGTACACACATGAGCTCGTGTGAGCATGGATGTGCATGTGTGCTTGTGTGCATGGATGAGCACACATGAGCTTGTGTGAGCATGGATGTGCATGTGTGCTTGTGAGTGTGGGTATACACACATGAGCTTGTGTGAGCATGGATGTGCATGTGTGCTTGTGAGTGTGGGTGTACACACATGAGCTTGTGTGAGCATGGACGTGCATGTGTGTAGTGTGTTGGTACACATGTGCTGCATTGCCTTGTGTGTCTATGCACACATGTATACATGTTGTGTGCAACTGCATGCCTGTGAATGTATGTGAGCGGCATGTGTGTGTCACACACATGCATGTGTTTTGTGAGTGTGGGTGAACATGTATGTGTAGTGTGCCCGTGCGTGTAGGTGCCGTGTGCATCTGCCATGCATGTATCTACCAGTGTGCACATGTGTGTCTGTGCTGTGTGTGCACGCGTGAGGGGTGTGTGCGGAGAGCCAGCAGCACCGCCGTGGGGCAGCGTCTGATCTCAGGTTCCAGGCTGAGGACCTGCAGGTGCCGAGGATGGCAGCAGTCTCTGGCTCAGCCAGCCTGGCTCAGAGGGTTCCATGTGCGGCCCGGCACTGTGCGGTTGGCATGCTCTGCCTTAGCTGCCTGAGATCTGGAGTGTGAGGCTGGGGCAGGGCGCTGACTGGGGAGCAGCTCAGCTGCTAAGCCAGCATGCGACGCTCTCTCACAGCACACACCCCTGGCATCACAGCCCCCAAGAACACCGCTCCTGAACAATACAGGGTTAGCAACATGACTGCCATTTGCCATCCAATACCCAGGGGGCCGGGAAGGGAACACACACAGGAGAAGGCCGGGCCAGCAAGCTCCCTCCTCGGGCACGGCAGCCGTGCCCAGCCCTGGCCGGGCTTGGAAGACCTCTCCGCCTTCCGGGCCCTGTGTGGCTGCGGTCCCACACAGGCTTGGTGAGTGAGGCGCTCTCCCGTTCCCTCCGGGACACAAGTTCTGGAACTCGTCAGCGTAGGTGGCCGAGGACGGGCATCGAGGACCCCTCTGCCTCCTCAGCACACCCCGCCTGCTCCTCTAACTCCCAATCCCTGCTTCCTGTTTGTCCAACACCCTAAGCTTCCGGCCTCTGCTTCCTGGCCACGGGCGTCCTCCACGCCAGTCGGTGCTCAGAAATCGCTTGTTGAGTTGATGTGTGGACGCGGTGCCCAGCGTGCCAGCTCCTGACCGGCGGTGGCTGGCTCAGCCTCCTGCTCCAGGACTGTCCCCGCCCCGTGGCTGGAAAACCCTGTCCGTCTCTCCAACAACACATCGGCGCCGGGTCTTGTCGGCACCAGCTCCCGTGTCTGGTCCACGCTCAGTTGCTGCTCACTTCCACGTAGGTGTGTGGGACCAAGGGCAGGGCTGTGAGCCGCGCTGATGTCCCGCTCCAGGGCTCAGCAGTGGCCGCCCTGTGTCTCCCCCTCCTCATGCTCCGCCCCCCTCTCCCCCGCCCCCGCTCGTCTTCTCCTCCTCCCCCCTCTCCACCGCAGACATTAAATGCCTCAGCTACTTCGTCCAGAATGAAGTGCTATTTATGTCTGAGATCATGGGCTTCTAAAAATAACCTTAAAAGTCCCAAGTCTATAATTAATTTCTTCAATTCATTAAAAAAATCAGCAGGATTCTTCTTTTAAAAAGCTGAATGAGCCGAGCCAAGGTAGCGGTCTCCATTGAGAAGGGCGCAGAAGCAGCCCTCGGGGCTGGGGAGCGGGGCAGGCGGGCGAGGGCGCGGGGATCCACGTGCAGACTCCCTCCGGGTCACCGGGCCCCGCTGACACAGGGACCCTGGTCCCTGAGGACAGAGCTAGGAGCCCTCCAGGGCAGGCAAGGTCCGTGCTGAGAACAACAGGCAGACAGGCGTGGACAGGAGAGCGGAAGGCAGCCCGGGCTCAGCTGAGTTCTTCAGGGGGTTGCGGGGCCGGAGGCTCCTGGGAGCAGGGCCGGGTCGCCCGGATGCAGTCACCTCGCAGTGGCAAGCCTGTCCTTCCTGCACACAGCAGCTGTGTCTGGAACGTGGCCTTGTGCCCACAGGAGCGGCGGCCGGGATTGGGTGGTGTGCGCGGCCTGCAGATTCCCGAGGCCGTAGCCGCCCAGGCCCCGGCCTTGCAAGACGTGCAACCGGAAAGGTCTGAGTGTTGGAACCAGTAGTCCCCAGCACGACAGCGCCGGCAGAGTGGGGGCCAGAGGCCGCCGGGCCGCACCGCACTGCACCGTGGGGTTGGGCTCCACAGACGGCCAAGGCCTGCCAGTCGGGGCGGGCGGAGTCCAGGCGAGGCGAGGGATGGAGACGCCAGCATCCCCGACAAAGCTCGCATGCTCAAGACACACAGCTGGCTGCCCTTGAGAGGACAGGCCAGGACGACCAGGGCCAGGCCCAGGGTGGGGTCTTACGCGGCACTAAGTCCAGATCTTGGCCTGGAGGGATTGGACCTGAGGCCTGCGGGCGGCTGTCACGCAGGAACCGCACGGCCCCTCCCGGGACTCCGATCCTTGTATGGTGTGGTCTCCAGAAGCCTTTGCTTCATCCGTATCTGTCCTGATTCACCCGGTCCTGTGCCGTGAGCAGTGGCTGAGCCTCCAGCCCCCCAGCTCCACACCAAGAGTCTGAGAGCTGCAACTTGTCACACGGGCAAATCAGCCGATCTGGCTGTGGCTGGCTGTCCAGGACCTGGACCACTCGGAGGCGGGAGCCGGGCTGCGTACCTCCCATCGCCCTCAGGGCCCCACTTACAGGAGACCCGGGGAGAACAGCAGCCCTGCCTTGGTCCCCAGCTGGCGTGTCTAGATAGCAACACAAGTTTCAGGAATCAAAGCAGTATGGAGTCCCAGCTTGGGGATGAGGAGGAGGGTGGGGACCTGGCCTCTGTGCATGTGTGTGTGCACATGTGTGCATGCGTGTACGTGTGTGCCTCGCAGAAGGCAGCCACCTGTGTCGGGGGAGGGCAGGGTGCCTGAGCCCCAGCCAGGGCAGTGACAGATGGTTCATCATCAGCAAACGCTCTATAATTGGAACAAACAGCAGAGACTCGCAAATGTGAACGTGGGTATTTATAGAGACTCGGGAAAATATCCAACAACACGTCGTGCCCGCCATTCCCCCACTCACAGGAGGGCCATGTGCAATGTTGTGTCCAAGCAGGCCCGTTTGAGGGTCCACGGGGACACCTGCTCCGGGAGAGGGGACCCATGCCTGCAGAGGTGCGAAGGACCGGCACCAGAAGACAGTCACGTGCCAAGGGCAAGATGCCAGGATCCACGCAAGGAGCAAGCGTGGGAGATGCCCCTGTACACGAGGCCAACCTCCCTGTCCCTTTCTATCTCTCTCTGTGTCCCTAATATGCCTTCTCTCAGAGACTTCTCAGTGCCCTGGAGGTGATTTACCAGGCTGGCTCTGTCCTCGGGGCTGGTTAAGCCAATTCGTCCTTGGATAAATGGCTCCCACATGTGTGCCTAGCTTGTTTAATCTGAGAAACCTGGAGTTAGCTCACAATCTCCTCTGATTTTACAGGTGGTGCCCTATCCACTGCACACTGTGGTGATAAGAAAGCCGCGGGGGGGCTGGGAAGGTGGCTCAGTGGTAGAGCGCTTGCCTTGCATGCCTGAGGCCCTGGGTTCGATTCCTCAGCACCACATAAGCAAAAAGAAAAAAGCCGGAAGTGGCACTGTGGCTCAAGTGGTAGAGCGCTAGCCTTGAGCTGAAGAGCTGAGGGACAGTGCCCAGGCCCAGAGTTCAGGCCCCACGATCGGACCCAAAAAAAAAAAAGAAAACCGCGG